TATCTATTTAAAAGCAGCTGTTTACAACATTTTTCTAATATTTCTCATAAAAATTTATTTCTAACAAAATTTAGCCAAAATATATCCAAACCTCAATTAAATTATCCAAACACTGTGTAGTTGTGTATAAAAGATGTTTATTTTTGATTACTTCTATTCATCCTTCAAAAATATAAAAAATCTTTATATATTTAGTTGCTGGATTTATTTTCCAATAAGATCTTTTAATTTCCATAAAACAATTTTATAATCCTCAATGTTGTTCCTAATGCTTCATTTTTAGTAAATTCAAATAAATTCTCTTATAATCCTTGACTTGATATTTATAAGAAGAAGATCTTGATATTAAATATATAATCATAAGCGTATAAAACTATTCTTATTCAGTTTACATTTTTTATACTATGCATTCAGATTATCCCTTAATACATCTATCTCGTTAACTTTTATGAATTTGATAGGATTTCCTTTCAATATAGAAATTTTTTATACTATTTTGTGTTCTCAAATTAATACTCAATTCTTAGATGTGAAAGACCATCAATAAAATCCCATTATATGATCAAATCCATATGATGACACTTTATCAATATGAAATAATAGCATACTATAAAAATTAAATACAAATCATGAGTTTATGAAAAATATAAACGAATATATTATCTCCTATATCTGTTATTCTACTAGATTCCCAATTACAATTAGAATATACTCTAAATTGTATATATCATTTGAACTCTTTATTATTTTCTAAATGTAAAATAAATAAAGCGTTAGTTTATTAAAGACTCAGTTTCTATTATAAGTAAATTAAATGTTGTTAACAAATAAATTTCAAAATATTTGTTAAATTAAAAATTCATTATTATAAGAAAAAAAGATAATGAATTGTACTAGGTAATAGGAAGAAGCTCTAACTGACATTTTTGCATTAGTTAAAGATGTGGAGAAACAAATATTGAGTGTCATATTAGAAATATTTCGATAGGAGAAAGTTTAAAACTGTATTGGATATCTTTCAGATAATCTAAATCAAAAACATTTAGAATAATAAATCCTACAACAAGCAGAGGATTTTAAACAAGTTGATATTGAATAGAAATTGTATGATGTTAAAAATAACATTAAAAAAATTACTGATGTCTTAAAAAAAATAAAAGATCATGATTTTAATAACAAAGACTATTCCACTAAAGAATATTTAGAATTTATGCAAGATCTAATTAAAATTATAAAGAATCATTGTCAAATCAACGAATTTTTGTAATTTTTAGTTTTGCTCACTTTCGTAGATAAAACTTTAATATAATGTGGGTCTAATTCTTTACATTTACTAGTTTAGATGAAGGTGGATCTAAGAAACAAAAATTTTGAAAATATTAAGATCAAAAATACCTCTTTAGTAGGAGCTAATCTTTTTGGATGCAATTTAAGTGGATCTGAATTTTATAATGTTGATATAAGTGGAATGAATCTAAATGGAGCAGTGTTATTTAATTGTAAATGGAACAACATAAGAATCCAGGTATTAAATTAATTAAATGGTCATACTTTATCAGTCAATTCAGTCTGTTTTTCTCCAGATAGAACTACATTAGCATCTGGTAGTGCAGATTTCTCTCTCCGCCTATGGGATATAAAAATAGGATAATAAAAAGCCAAAATAAATGTTCATACTAAATATATCAACTCAGTCTGTTATTCTCCCGATGGAAATATATTGGCATCTGGTGGTAGTGATAATTCTATCCGAATATGGGATGCTAAAACAAGAAAAATGAGAGCCAAATTGAATGGTCATAGTTAATGTATTAAAACCGTCTTTTTCTCTCCTGATGGAAATATATTAGCATCTGGTAGTGACGATACGTCTATTCGGTTATGGGATATTAAAACAGGATAATAAAAAACAAAATTAGATGGTTATAGTGGAACTGTCTACTCAGTCAGTTTTTCTCCTGATGGAAATATATTAGCTTCTGGTAGTGATGATGAGTCTATATGTCTATGGGATATTAAAGCTGAGTAATAAAAAGCCAAATTAAATGGTCATAGTGGACCTGTCTACTCAGTTTGTTTCTCTCCTGTTGGCAATACTTTAGCATCTAGTAGTAGAGATAAGTCTATTCGTCTATGGGATATTTAAACAGGATAATAAAAAGCCAAATTAGATGGCCATACTGACGCTATCTACTCAGTCTGTTTCTCTCGTGATGGAAATACGTTAGCTTCTGGTAGTAATGATACGTCTATATGTCTTTGGGATATTAACACAGGATAATAAAAAGCAAAATTTCATGGTCATACTAGTGCAATTATGTCAGTCTGTTTCTCTCCTGATGAAGATACATTAGCATCTAGTAGTAGAGATAAGTCTATTCGTTTATGGGATATTTCAACAAGGTAAAAAAAAGCCTATGGCCATAGTGGACCTGTCTATTCAGTCTGTTTCTCTCCTGTTGGCAATACATTAGCTTCTGGTAGTGATGATGAGTCTTTATGTATATGGGATATTAAAACAGGATAATTAAAAGCCAAATTAGATGGTCATAGTGGAACTGTTTATTCCGTTTGTTTCTCTCCTGATGGTAATTCATTAGCATCTGGTAGTAATGATAAGTCTATTCGTCTATGGGATATTTAAACAGGATAATAAAAAGCCAAATTAGATGGTCATATCGGAACTGTCTACTCAGTCAGTTTCTCTCTTGATGGAAATACGTTAGCTTCTGGGAGTTATGATGAGTCTATATGTATATGGGATATTAAAAAAGGATAATAAAAAGCCAAATTAAATGGTCATAGTGGACCTGTCTACTCAGTTTGTTTCTCTCCTGTTGGCAATACTTTAGCATCTAGTAGTAGAGATAAGTCTATTCGTCTATGGGATATTTAAACAGGATAATAAAAAGCCAAATTAGATGGTCATATCGGAACTGTCTACTCAGTCAGTTTCTCTCTTGATGGTAATACATTAGCTTCTGGTAGTTATGATAAGTCTATTCGTTTATGGGAGACTAAAACAGGATTATAAATAGACAAATTGGATGGTCATACAAATTATGTCTACTCAATCTGTTTCTCTCCTGATGGAAATACATTAGCTTCAGGCAGTAAAGATAACTCTATCCGTCTATGGGATATTAAAACAGCATAATAAAAAGCCAAATTTTATGGTCATACTGGATATGCCTACTCGGTCTGTTTCTCATCTGACGGAACTAAATTAGTATCTGGTAGTAGTGATACTTCTATCCATTTATGGGATATATAAATAGAAAAATAAAAATACAAATAGGATTGTCATATTGATTGCCTCAACTCAATCTATTTTTCTCTTGATAGTATATCATTAGCATTTGGTTGTGACGAAAACTCTTTTCGTTCATGGGATAATAAACAAGAAAAAGAAACCGAACTAAAAGTTCGACGATAAAAAGATATTTTAGCACAATTTAAGTCTTTTCTATTTACCCATGAGCCTCTGTCATTTAATAGTATCTATTTTCAATTTATTTAGTATAACCTATTATTCCGGCACTTCTTATAAACCAATACTTATGCTTTGAAGCATATTCCGCTTTAATCTTCAAAGGAGAATTCATAAATCATTAAGGCAAAGATTTATGTTATTTATTAAAAAATAGGGGAGCTTTTTTTTTAGAAAGCTTACTTTCATAAAATATTATTAATAAGTGAATAAGAAATTTATATTTTTAATGATATTTATTTATCTTCTTTTCATCTAGATTGCATTATGTTTTTAAACATAATTTAAAATGATTAAAAATATTTTGTTAACTAATTATCATATTTCTAAAGTTGGAAATAATTATTTAGAAGTCATAAAACAATTATCAATTAATTTTTATAAAGATTTAAATGTAATAAATAAATAATCAAATACTCTAGTTAAAACCAGAAAGCAAGTAAAAATAGGATTAGGATGAAAAGTTTACTGTTTTTAGAAGAAAACAATATCTAATTATCTTAATTACTAATTAACTTAGGTAATATGTGAAATTATGCATACTATCAAAGGAGCAGTTTTCAACAATCTTTTACTTGATTTTTTATTATAACCACTATCATAATGTTCACAGCTTTTAACAGAACTATATAATCATAATGCCTTCTAGATAATTGTAACCAGAAATTAATATGTAGACATACTAGCATTTGCAAACTGAATTCTGTTATCAACTAATCAACTTTTCAAATTTACAATTAAAAATTCATATTAGAAAAAAATTTAATTTTCTATGGTTTTTACTATTCATTTTTCAAATAGAAATTAAAAACCTAAGCTACCACAATAATGAAGATATCTATCTTCATTTAATTATTCATCAGGTAAATATTCAACTAAATAAAAATAATCAATCTAAGTTTAGAATAATAGCATTTTTTCTATTCTTATTTTTCCCATATTTGCATGCTTTTTTAGAAATATTTTATTTGCAATGGTACTCAAAAATTAATCTAGAGTTGCACAATGTTAAACATGCTCCTATAGAAGTTGTTTAGACTGAGTCTAATATTACAATTATAAAATTTATATTGTTTTATTTATTATCTACAGCTGAATCAATTTTATTGCTCGATTACCATTAACCTTATTTAAATTACAAATATCACATTAAGGATTGATATGGTAATAAAATTAACATAAAATAATTTCTGGATTGCAGATCTTTCAAACATGAAATAATTAAAATTTAATATAAATTCTTAAATAAAATAAAATATTGCCAATTTACATGAAGTGAATTACAATCTTATTCATGTTAATATCATCATTTGAGGAGTTTGATCCAATTAAATTTATATTCTTATATTTTTTTTATTAATGATCTCTGTGTAATAAAACATTCATAAAAATTGACTTATTAAATAAAATGGATATTTGAAATACTATTAACATTATTTCAGAAAAATGTTATTTTCATATTTCAAATTTAATGAAATTCTTTTTAAAGGTTTCAATAATACTTCTAATTCAATTTATATTAAAAAAATTTATTGATCTAAAATTATCTTATTTCATTTGAATTCATCAATATTAATAAATAATTTGGATTCCTATTTTTTTAAACTCTTAAAGTTGTATTGACTCCAAATCAAATAAAAAAATTCAATCGTTAAGTTGTAATATTTCAAGAATATTCATTAGCTAAGCTCTATCAAATTTTGATGAATTAAAAATTAAATTGATTATGATTTTAACTTTGAATCATATCTTCTAATTAGAGCGCCATAATCATCCTGAATTGACAAGAATCCAATTAAATTTAAAAAATAATATTTTTATGGCTTAATTCTAAAAAAATTATTTTTACTATATTAAGTTTTAAATAATATTAGAAATTCTATTAAAAGATATTAACATTGTTGTTATTTTTAATATATTTACAATATATTATGAATTCCTGCAATCAAAATAGACTTCCTGTATTTTAAAGCTTAGATAAATTTAATGTAAAATTCTTTACCATTAGTTTATGTCATTTATTTATAAATTTTAACAACTAATATAATTATGTTAAACTTTAATAAATTTCTCTGCTTGAGTATTCATATATTGAATTCTGTTACAAATGAATTTATCTTACTCTGTTTTATGCATTGAGATACTCACATTATACAGGATAGGTGCCTATAACAAAAAATTTAAAACATTTAAAATATGACACCTCTAGTATGATGGTCTGTTCAAATTATGTTATTCTAAATCAAAATAAGGATTTAAACTCAAATAAATGATTAAAAACCGTATATTAACCCGAGAATTACTTGAGAGTTTTCTAATGGTCATTTTAACCAACTGCATCTTGTGGTTTTGACTATAAAGTCATTATAAAGGATATTCAAAAGTAGTATATTCTAGTATAGAATGATTTGTTCTACAAAAATATACTAATTTAAACATTATACATCATCATCTTCTATAAAATCCTGCATAAAATTTTCCCTTTGAAAATAATATATATATAAAATCTATGTCAAGATGAAATGATACAATGTTATGATGCATTAAGAATAGTCTTAAAATCCTCATAATCACCAAAAAAACATCATTGAAGACTATTTGTATCCCTGTCAGTTACTGTCACCTTGAAAAATATATTAAGTAAACAAAGAGATATATATATATAAAATAAAAATTATAAAACATTAATTAAAATAAAAAATATTTTGATGGAAAATTAAAAACATTAATTTACATAGGATTAGAAAAGTGATTCATAATAAGACATAAATATTATTGAAAGATTGCAAGAACCTTATGGGAGAATATTTGGGTTTAATTGACATAAATTGATTATCTGTATTTACTGTTAAGAAATTGTTGAGGAGATAGAATTACATCTGCCAAATGTTGCTCATCTCACTCAATGTTTAAAAAAATTAATGAACATTAAAAAAATTTGTAAGATAAGAATAAGAAAATTTAGAATTATCAGTATGCTTTGAAAAAAGAAAAGCAATTATTGGGTAAATTTAACAGGGATTACATCTAAATATATAATCATCTAAAATTTTATTTTGAGGAAACTTTTATAGATTATGGTATATTTGCCTAGTAAAAAGGAAAATAGAAATTTGATTATATAAGAACCACAACCAAGTTCTTTGAATATTTACTTATAAATGATAAATAATTGATAGAAGCAGAAGATATTGTAAATTTTGTGAAGGTTGAAAAAAAAATTAATGTTAATGCGTTATTATAATATGCAAATTAATAGTTGATTATGATAACTGATTAATAATTAAATGAAATTAGAGATTATCAATATATAAACGGACAGGATAAAAATTGCAGTTAATAAAGAATCAGATAAAGAGACTGAATAAGAAAATATTTATAGATTCATATAAGATATGATAAATTCTGGTTAAAATGATGTTGCAATCATGATGAATTTATAATTAGCCTTGAAAATTAGTCAGGATGAAATATATCAAATGAAATTTTAGCATATTTACAAAGAAGGTAATAATTGTATTATAACATTTAATAATAAGAAGGAATTAGTATTAAATAATGAACATTTACTGTCAGAGTTATAATTGATCTTCAAGGTCAATATAGGAGGAAAAGTGTCGAACAAAAGAAACAGAATAATTGAAGCCTTTAATCAGACAAGGAAGTTTAAGCTTAATCATTTAGGAAATTCAGAAAATGATAAGCAATATTAATAGTTTTTATAATAAATAAGTTTGAGTAAATATAAGATGATGGATAGGTCCAATTTAAGAACTTTTACCTTATTGGATAATTCTTTGTAAAATCTTTAATCGCAAAAGAAGGATAAAAAGGAAGAGAAGTTGCGCAAACATGAATATACATTGTATGATAAGGTATTCAAGAGGACAATGAGTGGTGATTTAATAGAAATATCAAATGATCAGAAAAGCCCAATAGAACAAATAGTTAAATTAGGTCTATAATAATCAGAATGAAGGAAAATGATTATTATTAAGCACATAAAATATTCAAAACATAATTTTTTATATTAAAATTGGTATTTTTATTTATTTTTATATATTACATCACAAAATAAATAATTATTGAGTGAATTCTTAAAATATATAAATACGGGCTTATAAAGTAATCTGAAGTTTAATTAAGAAAATTAGATTTTCGATTCCCTAATTTATGGAAAATCCTCAACTTTTTATAAATCATATTAAACCCCAAAAATTTAGGATGATTTAAATGCTGAAAAAAATTTGAATTTTGAACAAAATAAGAGCATATAGTATAAAACTAAGATTATAGATTTAAATTAATTCCATATTGATAATCTGGCGCCATTACTATTCACAGCCACATCTTAACTTCAAACTTGAAGTGATTTAATTGAGGAATAATAGCAAGGATCAGATAAAAGTTTCTACACGCATGAGGAATTTAATAAAAGATGAATAAGGAGATGACAAAGAATATATAATGAGCATATTTTTGAAAAATTAATNATTACATCTAAATATATAATCATCTAAAATTTTATTTTGAGGAAACTTTTATAGATTATGGTATATTTGCCTAGTAAAAAGGAAAATAGAAATTTGATTATATAAGAACCACAACCAAGTTCTTTGAATATTTACTTATAAATGATAAATAATTGATAGAAGCAGAAGATATTGTAAATTTTGTGAAGGTTGAAAAAAAAATTAATGTTAATGCGTTATTATAATATGCAAATTAATAGTTGATTATGATAACTGATTAATAATTAAATGAAATTAGAGATTATCAATATATAAACGGACAGGATAAAAATTGCAGTTAATAAAGAATCAGATAAAGAGACTGAATAAGAAAATATTTATAGATTCATATAAGATATGATAAATTCTGGTTAAAATGATGTTGCAATCATGATGAATTTATAATTAGCCTTGAAAATTAGTCAGGATGAAATATATCAAATGAAATTTTAGCATATTTACAAAGAAGGTAATAATTGTATTATAACATTTAATAATAAGAAGGAATTAGTATTAAATAATGAACATTTACTGTCAGAGTTATAATTGATCTTCAAGGTCAATATAGGAGGAAAAGTGTCGAACAAAAGAAACAGAATAATTGAAGCCTTTAATCAGACAAGGAAGTTTAAGCTTAATCATTTAGGAAATTCAGAAAATGATAAGCAATATTAATAGTTTTTATAATAAATAAGTTTGAGTAAATATAAGATGATGGATAGGTCCAATTTAAGAACTTTTACCTTATTGGATAATTCTTTGTAAAATCTTTAATCGCAAAAGAAGGATAAAAAGGAAGAGAAGTTGCGCAAACATGAATATACATTGTATGATAAGGTATTCAAGAGGACAATGAGTGGTGATTTAATAGAAATATCAAATGATCAGAAAAGCCCAATAGAACAAATAGTTAAATTAGGTCTATAATAATCAGAATGAAGGAAAATGATTATTATTAAGCACATAAAATATTCAAAACATAATTTTTTATATTAAAATTGGTATTTTTATTTATTTTTATATATTACATCACAAAATAAATAATTATTGAGTGAATTCTTAAAATATATAAATACGGGCTTATAAAGTAATCTGAAGTTTAATTAAGAAAATTAGATTTTCGATTCCCTAATTTATGGAAAATCCTCAACTTTTTATAAATCATATTAAACCCCAAAAATTTAGGATGATTTAAATGCTGAAAAAAATTTGAATTTTGAACAAAATAAGAGCATATAGTATAAAACTAAGATTATAGATTTAAATTAATTCCATATTGATAATCTGGCGCCATTACTATTCACAGCCACATCTTAACTTCAAACTTGAAGTGATTTAATTGAGGAATAATAGCAAGGATCAGATAAAAGTTTCTACACGCATGAGGAATTTAATAAAAGATGAATAAGGAGATGACAAAGAATATATAATGAGCATATTTTTGAAAAATTAATGGTAATAATTTTTAAGCTAATTTATTTTCATCTTTATTTTATTCAGAACTTTTTAAAAAAATGAATACATTCATACTCAATTTAATAAATTATATTCTAATTACCTTATAGCTAAAAAAAGTCTACTAATAATGATGCAGGAAAGACTCTTATAAAAATAGTAAAATATTAGATTTATTTAAAGGTTTCTGCATTTAATTGTCATAATTTAATATTTTGATTTGAATGAAATTAAGACAAATATTTATTATTGAGTATTACATTTAATATTCTAATGAAGATTCTTTCCATCATATTATGATCTCATTTACCAATCAAGTATATTTTGCATAATTTATTTATCTAATGAGTCTAAATTGAATTGAATATCACTACTAAATTAAAAATTCTTGTAGAAATACCCCGACACACATCTAATTCGAAATAGATTATTGAATTTATTCACTATTTAAAATTACTTTAATAATTAAATTTTATTCCCAATAAAATATTCTCATTTTATTAAAAGTTCAATGAAAAATTCCAATTCTTCTTCTAATCTATTAATTTTACCTCTAGTTACATGATAGTTATTATAAAATAAAGTCAATGCTAAAAAGCATGTAAAATTAATTACACTTTTGTTATAATGAGTAGGATTATACAAAAGTAAAATCAAAGCTAAGTTAATTGTTTATAACTTTTTATGCTCTGTAGTTAACTGTTAGTTTTTTATCTACATTTTATTTTATATTTTGCTTTAACATTATACCATCCCTATTCTTTTTATTGTTCAATAAATCTAGAAATTTTGTTAAATTTTAAATTCATTACTGATTATAATCATAAAATGATAAAGAAATAAAGTATTAAGAATATGTTGATAATGAATTTTAATAAGTTATTAACTGCATCTTTAAATAGAATAATTATTAATTGCATACCAAATTAAATTTCTATTTTAATAGTATTCTGATTATATTATTTCTCTAATGAAACTTAATATAATTTTTTTGCAAAAGACTATTAATATTTTCAAATTATTTATCTTTAATAGTTAAATGAATTTAATAAAATCAAAATAATTTAAATAGTCTATCTACATACTTCATTCAATATCGTCTTCATCGAAAACTTCACAAGAATGGATTGCTCCATCTGTCATATCTTCATAATCTTTGCTAAGAGCAGCTAAATCTTCTCTGCACTCTGACATCTCCCCAGACTCACAACCTTCTCCTACGAACCAATGAACAAAGGCTCTTTTCGAATAGATTTTGTCATACTTCTTTCCAAGCTTTTCAAAGTAGTTGAACAAATTTGCATCATTTGAAAGTAATATGCCAGTTTACTTTAATTAAGCAAGCTCTGATATAGATGTGTAATTTTAAGATAAACATTGATACACATTAGGAATATTTTAATGTTTAATTCTCATCGTTTAAAGAGTTAAATCAGATTAACCAAAAAATTGATTATTATGTTTAGAACGATGTACTATGGATGCGCAAATGTGTTCAGGATTAATTTCTGATTGAAATAACCTTTAAGCAGGTTTTGTTATTAATGATATCAGTTATTTTTCATTTAATTCTTAATTGATTTAATCATTAATAGATGCCAAAGGTCCATATGAGGGAATTACATAATGAATTCTTGGGTAGGGACAGAGTTCTGACAATAATTTCTTATTATCTATCTTACTAAATCTTCTTAGACCAGTGTAAGAACTAATTAATTATGATACTAAATTATTTAAGTGAGTATAATCAACATAATCCAAACCAATCTGTGAATCTATGGATTTATACATTGATTAATTATCCAACATTACTACACAGTCGCAATGTTCTATAGTCATATGAGTAGCTAAAACAGCATTAAAGGCATCCACTGTATTGTTAGACATTTCTTGAGAAGGATATATTAAAAATGCATTTTTTTCAACCTTTACTCCATAATCAACAGATAATCTTTCCAAAAGTAATGAAGAAAAACCTGATCCTGTTCCACCACTTAAAGCAGAAGTAATAATGAATTAATCTATTTTGTCAACACTTTCCACTTATTTTCTCACATAATCTAAACATTTATCCATTATTTCTTTTCCAATTGTATAATGACCCCTACAATAGTTGTTTGCCGAATCCTCCTTCCCTGTAATAAAGGAGGTAGATTTATAATTTATTGATTTATTCTTTTTGACTTCATTTACCATACGATCATCTAAATCCATAAATAGAGCTAATGGAAAATAATTACTATCGTTTTCATTGTAAATATAAATTTTTGCATTTTTGTCTGTTTATTCTTTTTAATAAAGTTTCCATAGTTCATCACCTATCATAACTCCAGCTCCTCCTATATGAAGATGAATAGAAGAACACATTATAATTAATAAATAATGAATGATAATCTTATATAAAATACTATTAATAATATTTGAGGATGATGAATAAATTTGATATTTTACATGTTAATCAATTGTTCATTTTTTGAAGATACATCAAAGCGATCGAATTTCTATTTATAAATTTCTCTTAAGAATTTAATTAACTTTATATTAGTATGCTAAGGATTTTCAAATCTATAATTAAGCTTGGATTCTTTAATTTACTTTTCAGCTCTAGTAAAGTAATAACTAGTGAGGCAAGCTTTTGAACCTCTTTAAATTTATTCTTATAATATTGAGCTTAGTTTTTATATTTCTTTTTTGAATGCCTAATCCAATAATCTACAATCCATGATCATCAAATTCGTTATTGGAGGAGGAACTAATTATTGTTTCATTTATATTAATTTTGCCAATGCTATCAACCCTTTTACATCATATTATTATTTTTAAAGTAAATCTTAAATTAATTCTTGATTAAATAAAAATAATTTTGTTTATCCTCTAATAAATGATCAATTGTATCGAGTAATCCTTTATGGAATAGTTTAGATTGCAGACGAATTAGCTCATATTATAATTAATCTTAAACTTAAGTGAGATTTATGATCAACCAAGTTCTAAATTTTTAATATTTCTAAGTCCTTTTACAGATATCTCGGATAAGTAATTTCAAAATTTTATTGATCAAGTCTTTTCTAATATTAAATATTAGAATTTATCAGATATTTTCAGACAATCTCATGCATTTTTAATTTATAAAAGCCTATTAAGAATTAACATTTATATTTTGAAATTCTGTATTGCCTTTTTTCAATCTGATTATTGATTATTTTATCCAAATAAAGATTGATCTTTTATACCATATTTGAATTATTATTATTAGTTTTTTAAAACAGTATGAAGCTAATATGTTTTAAAATCATTTATTTTGATATTTGTAATTGGAATTTATCAAATGAATAATTGAAAAGGAGATTTGTGTAAGAAATATTCATAAAAAAGTTGAAAGTAATCTTTTATACTTGGCTCGCTATTTTATATTTTATTTTCTATACTAAACTTACATATTTAGCATAAATCCATGTGAGTCAATAGTTTTTAAATAAATAACATATAATATCTACAAATTGTTGTACTCAATAAATTCTTGAGTAACTAAACTTCCAGAAAATTAAAGAAAACTAATTTACTATCCACATCATATTAGGAATTTCTCTATTATAACACTTTTTAATATTCTTTCTTAACTCAGAAGTTGGTTCAGTTATGAAAATTTTCTTAGCATTACATTTTTAAATAGTAATCTATCTTAAGAATATCTAAAAATATTATAAATGTGATTTACAGCCTTTTCAAAAGACAATTTGAATAATAAGGAGATGCCTATTAATATTAAGAGATTCTAGAAAAATCATTTTTTTAATTTAATTAAGTATTCAAAGGAATATGTAGTAATTGAGTTTAAATAGAATCAATAACATTATAAACTATAATATAATTATTTATTTCATAATCCAATAAAAATTTACTTCTTGAGAGTGTTGTAGAGAAGCAACTATTATTGATAAATTTCTTTAAGCATACTTCTTATTCGAAATAAAAAATTCATCCTCCACCTTAGACATTAGAATAGTAAAAGTCTAAAGATCCATTCTTTTTTTAATCCAACATCCTCGTAAAATATATACTATATAAGAGACCGAACTGGAAGTAAATTAATTTAATTAGTTCTAAACACATTGCTTAACTCAATCTACCTATTTCCTTAATTTTGGAGTCCATCTGATCTTCTCTTCGATTTTTCTATTTGATCTCTAGAAAATAAATTAATCTACAAAAAAATTTTTTTTTGAATTTCTTGGAATTCTTAGACAGTAAAATATTAAATTTAAATATTCTAGCAATCCTATTCTCAGAATTTAGAGTAAAAAATTTATGGTTTTTAGGCAATTTTTATCAAAGTAATATAAATTTGGAGAAGACAAAAATAAAATTGAAGAGGGGATCAAATTTGTAAAATTAAAAACAATGTTATCTAAAAAAAATCTAACTTTAATACTTGATATTTTTTAATCGTCAAATCTAATTCAAATGAAATATAGTTATAAATAATAATTAAAATTATTTTTAGTTTTTCATCAAATACTTAATATTAATATGAGAGCAGATCCTCCCAAATTCTATCTTATTGGTGCAAAAGTCATTTAAAAGCTTATAAGGATTCTAAGATAAATCAACACAGAGTTAGGAATGATCATCTATACATATACAGAAATAAGAATATATCAACAAAAGTCTCAATCAAGAAGATTGAAAAAGGATGTGAAAGCATCAAAGGCTCAATACCTACACTTTCAAGAGTCACTTTTAATAACCCAATATGTTACTAAACACCAAGTTAAAATTAACAAAATGTTAATTTAAAATAAAAATTTTTATTTAAGAGGTTAGCCCTAAAGAAAATATCTTTAGGGCTGAGTTTGGAAAAATTAGAGAATAAGTGATGAAGATGAAACTGGAAAGACATTAAAAGAGAATTGAGGAATTAATAACCTAAATTTAATCTTTTTATGAATAAGAAAGTAAAAATTTCTTATCTATTGTTCATGAAAGAAAAAACACAATTTACTCTCAGAAAAAACGGAATGGAGAAAGCTTAAATGAGATAAAAAAAGCTTTAAATGGTATTCTATGAATATTAATAATTTTGAACTATAAACATCTAGCAGGCTAAATTTTCTAAAAGAAATGGGGATGCTTTAAATTGACTTGGATTACTTTTGGTCATCTTATATTTTGACGAAAATCAATTTTTTTTGTTATCTTTTGTCCTCAAAATATGTCAATTAGAAAAGAATTAGAAGTTTAAAATGAAATATCATTACAAGTTTTAACTATTAGAACTTTTAATATTTATTTCAATAATATATTAGAAGATCAAAATCAGCAATTAATTCAATTTATTTGTCTATGTAAAATGGTGAGGTATGATAAATTTAAAATTATATATAACACCTAGTAGGAATTCTATTATTTGTTCCCTTGATGCAGAGTGTTTAAAAATATCAAATTTCAGTTATATGTTATCAATATTAGATGAATTATTATTCAAAAATATATTATGTAATAAAAGGTAGAAGCAAATTGTGATTATACCTGTTTTAATTTAATGTGCTTGAAAACATAAGAAATTTATTACTTCTAGTAATTGGTTTTAAGCAATTAATGTAAAATTTCCTTCTAATCTATCCTTTTCATTAATCAAAATTAAATAAGCAGATAGACCAATTTATAATTTATCACCTGAATCAAAATAAATTTAAATATGAATAGTATGGAATATATAAGATTATTGTAATTAGGCTAATCTAATTTATAAATAATAATATTTATCAAAAAAAATAATATTTTAAAGTGAACGCATTATAGATATTGAAAGTATAGAACTTCAAATCAATATTATAAACATTACAACTATGAACATAAATTTTCATTTCCTCTTATAAATTATCAGGATATAAATGTGAAATGTCAGAATTTCAATCGAAAAATTTTTGGTTATAAATGCTATTTCTTTTAACTTTACAACTTATGTATATACTTGTATATCTAAGAGTATCATTTTGATAATAATTTTGTCATCAAATTAATATATCTCTCAAATTAAATATAAATAATTGACAAATAAATTTTGATTTCATCAATTTCTAACAATTTATTTGATTAAAGAGAGTAAATATGAAAATATTAATTTTTGATATGATAGATTATAATAAATTCATTGTTTTTAACATTTATAGCATAGATACTCTCCTTTTATATACTCCGTCTAAGAAGGCCAACTTTGGTAGGAAAACTCTTAAAAGCATTTGAAACAATATAAGTTTTAAAAAAATTACCATGCTTCCTCACATAAGTATATTGATACTCCATTAGTAGCATTAACTTTTTACTTTACATTTCTTCTAGAACACTTTGATTTACAGTAATAACATTATTACTTTTTGTCACACTTTTCACAATAAGTAATTTGTTTTTATAAAATTTATGCACATTCATTGCATCTTTAATCTAAGCAATCTTTTTAACACTAATCACATATTTTTAAATCTAATGCTTATTTTAGTACTCTATTTAGATTAAATTTGAATTCATTTCCACAACATTCACAAATTTCAGTGAATTCATTAACTTCAACACAACTTTTGCAAGTATAAGCAGTATCAATTTAACTTTTATAGTCTTCATATTTAATTTAGAAAATATCACCACAAACATTACAAACAGCATTTACTTACTGAAGATTAAGTTATTTTAGTTCTAAGAATGTTCTCGTTTCAGGAATTGAAATGTTAAAATCATCACAATTCCTCTTTAATCCTAAACTCTTGCAAATATCATTACATTAACTATGTTATGTTTAAAAAAAGGTTTCAATTCCTAACATCTCTTAATTTGTTTCATCCCGCAAATATCCAATATCTTATTTTGTATGTATGCATGGATCTGAAAGTACTCCTTATTTTCCTTAGAGATCATTAATTACTAAACTTTTATTTGTGAAATAATATGTAAAATGACTAAAAGCTGAATAATTTTCCTTCTCCTTATCCATGTAATTAGTATTATTAGAAATCTTTTCCCAAGGACCATTAATATTTATGTTAGTCTCTGCATAAAGATCTTTTAATCCCATAAATTCCTGACAAAGTGTATATTTTATAGGAGTTACATAAAAAATTGGATGTGCTTTATCGATTGACTTAGTTTGTAATCTGTATGCACAACTTAATTATTTTGCTATTATAGTTTAATTATATCTGACAAAAGATGCTTTTTAAGCATTTTAGATTATATCTTCATCAATTTACCCTTTCTTATTTTAATATAGGTCTACAACTTTTTTTGGAAGTTTTATAATAACTTTCAAATTATTTCTGACATCAAATGCTTCAAAGATGTAGGAAACCATTCCTTAATCATTCTAACTCAATATTTTCTAATTCATTTCTATTTCTAAGATTGTATCCCCTCCAACTTAATTTTTACCCATTTAAGTTAAAAAATTCGAAAAGTAGTTTAAATTGTTTTTATTATTGCATTCGACCGGCTCAATTGCTTTGTGCCAAATAAAGTGTGCAAAAATTTTTTATGTTTTTTATTACAAACTATTCATTAAATTTATGGAAGATTATTTAAAAGATTTGATCATGGATATAGAAACATAATTTGCAAAATCTTATGTTTCTAATTAACTTATCTCTAAATTCTTGAAGTTTTATTTCATAATTTCAAACATCTTATTTGTAGTATCATTTAATTTACAACAAAAGAAATAATTATTAGGAATCTTTTTTTAATCTAATACCTACATCAGTTTTTCCAAAGAACCATCTTTAATCTCGTCATTATGTTCATCATCAACTTCATTATCATGGTATTATTTGCCATGTGTAGGAGCATCACTTATCAAAAATGTGCAAAGTATACTTTCAGGATGTTTAGAAAAATTCAATTTTAAAACTTGCTCAATTCCACCTGCGACATCTTCTGCTTCATCATCACCCCCTTCAGCTTCGAGGGTACTGATAAATTACTTTATCAAATCAACATCCGTTGTAAAATCATGATATTAAATATGTTTATTGTCTTTAAAATCCCTATAGCCAACAAAGGCTATTCTAATTAATGTTTATGATACAGTCTTGTTAAAAATATCGATTATTGATGATATACTTTCTCTAGCTTAATCTATCCAAATACCCATGCTACCAGTGCAATCCATTATAAATACAACATCCAAAATATTTCTTTCTTTAATATCATGTTATAATTTTTAGAGTTTTTATTTATCGAAGAGTAATTCTAACTTTTTATATGATTTGCTATCCATTCTTTGCAATTATGGTTTTAAACTATGAGTACATGGAATCAATTTTTTTCTTTCAAATTAATCAGCTGATACATTTCTAATATTCTCCCAATCTACATGAAATTTAGGGCATTATCCTTTGTAATCGCAAATACCTTTAAAATACTTTAGGCAATATTTTTCCAAAGAATGATATATTTTATCTACATCTGTTATTGATTCTGGGCTTATATTTTTATATTCATATTCCTTTAACACTTCTTATCTAAGTTCCTCCCAATCTAAATGTTTTTAATTGTTTTCACATTCTCCCTCACAATCATCACTATTTTTTAAATTTTTCATGCAAATATTTCTCTTTGATATCCAATCTCTGTGTAGATAATAGCAATTATTGTTTTTACAATCAATTTTTGGACATAAATTAATAACAAAAACACCATTAATTGAAATCATTTAGAGCTTCTCTTTCAAATTACCCTTACCAATATGATTCAAATTTTGAGGGCAAGGTTTCTTACATTTTCCATTTAAATTATTAATACATACCCCTGCAAAACATCTTGGATGCATTAAATTACATTCTTTATTTTTACATTATATGTTTTCAGGGCATATTGAAGGCGATTATTCAATTAATTTTGAAATCATTTAATAGATATCAATAGAAAAAATTATTATTTGACAAAATAATAGAATTACATTTTAAGATAAGAATACTAATTCTAATAATTCAAATGAATATTTATTAGAACTTAAATGATAATCTTGATTTATGATCTGAGATAATATTGATTTTTGTGTAGATTTCATGAATTTTTTTCCTTGTTACTCACAGAATGGAGAATTTAAAAAATGAATTATTTTATTCTATTTCAAGAAAACTTCATTTCATCTGATTAAAATCTATTTTTAAAGACTAATTTTAATGAACTTATTTCACTATAGCCTTGTAATTATATCAAAGGAGATCTAGTAAAACTATTATGAATATTTCTGATGTATACCTCTATGCAAAAAAGTGATCAAATAGGAGATTAAAAAATTTTACTTAAAAATGATATTACACCATTTACATTTATCATCATCAATTTTAAAAGGTATACTTTTATTATATAACAGGCTAAATCCACTTAATTTCCATCTCTCAATTCATAAATTTAATATTAACCTGGAATGAACCCTTTTTATCTTGTTCTGTATTCTTGATAAAAAATATTTCAATTATAGAGATCGAAATATTCTGTTAATTATTTTATTAAATATATGTTATGCCAAAACGTTAAAATGATATCTCATGGACTTTAATTAATATTTCTTCTAATTAAAAGCAACACCCTTTTAATTATTGTTTAATTATATAAAAATAAAACTATAGAGAATTGCACTTTTATTAAGTTTATTTTATTATTGTCTTTTTAAATTTACCAATATAAATAAAATAATTAAGAAAAAAAGTAGATTAAAGTTTAATGATAATAAGCTCTGATTTAATCTATAAATCGTGCTTTTTACCTTAAGTGTCTTAATATTTAAATAATTTTAATTAATCAATTCTTTTTCTGAATATTTAATTATTTTCATCTATCACCAAATTATTTTGTTTAACAATTATTTCAAATAATTTCATGATATTTATGATTTTATCTTAAAATAAATTATAAAATTGTTTGTTTGTCAATTAATCAAGCACGTTAAAATATTTTCCTATCAAAATCCTTACTTACGGGTGGACAATTAAAGGAGGACTTCATAATTTTTCTTTAGAATAGTTAGCTTAGGTTTCTCAAAAAGGAGGTTGCCCTATTTGGATATCTTGGATTACAAGCAGTAGCGATCTTATTTTTATTTTTGAAGTAACGGTTAAAGATTGAAATGTTTGTTTTCATTTTAGATCCATTAGTTGTGGTATACATTCATAGGGTTTTTATTTCTCATTCTCCATTTTTATATTTTTCTTTTGGATAGGCTCATGAAAGTGTTTGCGGAAATATTTAAAAAAATTTGAGTGATGACACATCATAAAAAAATTGTAATTTAATTAGAATTTTATAAAATTTCCACATCCATTGATTTCTAAAATAAAGTCACTAATCTACCCTAAGTGCTCGATGAAGCCTTCAGTAAGCATATGATTGAAAAATCACTTGTAAAACAGATGAGATTTTGATTATTCAAATTATAAATAAACAAAAATTCTGGAAGTATTCTTGTAAGGGAATAAACATAATATAATAACTAGGCCCATCTTGGATTCACAATTATAATTTTCACTGTATCAGATATACACAATTATGTTCTAGTAAAATATTGAAATTATTTTCATTATTTATTTATAATAAAGCATAAAATTCTTTTTAAAATCTTTTAAATATTTAAACTCTTTTTCACAATGTTATATTGTCTAATTCTAAATTGTCTTCTTCTTCATCTTCTTAATTTTCTTTGTTCTCTTATTATTCATCTTCTTCATCTTCTTCATTTTCAATTTATTCCATCTATTCATTGTCATCTGATATTTTTTCTAAGATTTCATCTAAATATTTATTATTGTTACTTTTTATTTTCATAATTATAGAATTATCAGGAAATAAACTAAGCAATTTTTCACATAAATCAATAGCTTTTTGATATTTATTCAATTTTTTTAAGCAATCAGCTTTTAGAAATAAAATAAAAAAATTCTCATAATCGATAGATAATAAACAATCAAAGACTTTGAGGGCTTCATCAAATTTATCCTCTCCACATAAAAATATTCCTTTGAATAATAAAGGAAAAGTATCTTATGGATACTTTATTATCAAATCATCGAAAAGTTAAATTACTTAATCATATCCTCTATTTTTAAAGATCATGTCTAAAATTATTAAAATATATTGCACATTTCTAAAACAGAACTAGAAAAATATTTGGGCTATATGCTAAGATTTAATCTATCAACTCCAAAGCTTAATCTTATTTTCCTTCTTCGGATAAAATATTCGCTTAGATTAATAATAATTATACCTTTTAAGTGTTAAATCATCCATAAAGTTGGATCAATTTCTATTAATTTTTCTAAAACTTTTTATGCTTGATCTAATTCACCTTAATGAATTAAAGTAATTCCTTAAGACAAATTCATATGTTACCTTTGAAATACAATGCTTACCCATCCTCTGGATAATATTTTATCATTTCCTCAGAGATATCTGATGCTTCATAAAAGTTCTCAAGGATAATTGCAAATTAAACTTGTAATAGGCTGATTTAATATACTTTTGAAAATGAAAGCATCATAATTTTAAGGATATTTTTGTTATATTTAATCAATTAATATAAGTGCTTTATCTTTTTCAAGTTATTGAATTAATAAATAGCCTTAATCATAATAAATATAATACTCTAAGACAAAAGTGTGTATATTTCGTTTGAGTTATTTTCAATTACTTCGTTGAAACATTCTTTTGCTTCAGTCAATTAGAAGATTATACTTAGACATTAACCTTATATCTTTTGATATATTTACCCTTATAAAACATAGCTTTATAATCATTTTGATTTATATTTAAAGCATGATCGTAGGCCTACAAGGCAGAATTGAATTTAGCTAAATTAAATAAACATTCTCCTAAAAATTATAATTACTTTCTACCTTAATTTAAATAAGCTTAGGCATTATTTTCATTAATTGATAGTAATTTTTCATAGCATTCTAATGCCTAATTGAATTTTGATTTAAGTCTTAAGCAATCACCTAAAATGTAGTTTGATCTTACCCTTTCCTAATAAAGCTTATTCATTCTCAGGGTTCAATTTTAAGCATTCTTCATAGTATAGCATAGCCTTCTATAAATCTTATTATTTCAATAAATAATTTGCTATTTTTATATTCTATCATTTACCAATCTTCAATATATTGTATTCATCTTTTTAAATGAATATGTTTATTTGGCAATTTTGATAAATGTCTTCCATCGATTTTTTCAACTTAAGTAATTATGGTTAGACGGTTTATTAGATTGTTTATTATAATTAATCAAATAAGAATGAAATTGTCAGTGCTTCTTCAATTTCACTTAAATCTAAAAAATTGATAGACTCTAAACTAAAAACTCTATCTTCTAAACCTTTGATTAAATATTAGTATTATTCCTTAGCCTAATTAAACTGATTTTTTGTTATAGTAATAGTCTCTTTAAGTTTTCTCAATTATTAATTGATGAAGCTCTCAGCATCTTCGATTTTATTAACGACGTCCATATGTTAAACATGCTATGTTTATTTCATACATTTAAAACAAAACATTCTATTATCATAGCAATCTTTCTTAAAGCAGCAGAATTAAATAAGTTCTTAAGGGTGCTACTTACAAGCGAAATTGAATTTCTATTATTACAACATTAAAAAATTATTTATAAGTCTATTAAAAAAAATTTAAGTCTTAAAAATGTTTTGTTTATCAAAAAAATTTATTTTAAACATTATAATAGGCTCAAACTAACTAGAAGTTAATTATATTGATTATTATAAATATTTGGTGGAGTGATATTTTGTCAAATACAAACATTGATCCTGAATAAACAATATTGACCTATTTTCTTTATGGTTTATAGTATAATATGTTTTAAGGGTTTGTTATTTAAGTTTAATCCCCTTAAAAAGTAGATGAGATCAACTATAAATAATATTGGAATTATAAAATTGGGAAAATAAGCCTTGGTTATTAACTAAGAAAATGAATAGTATTATATTTATTATGAATTTAGATATCTCAATTTATTTTTAATAGTTTCTTTAAGTGTATAGATTTTTGAAATAATTCTTAACATATTTAAATATTTTATGATAATTATTATTATAATAATTAAAAGAAACTATTATTATAATTCTTAGAATTTAATATAATTTTTATAAGAATCCATCATTATTAAGAAATTTTAAATAGTAAATATAATCAAATGAATTCAAGTAGTGCTACATCTTTTTGTTATTCTAATCCATATCTACATAATGGACAACGAGGATCTCTTCCAAGCCATTATTTACAACATTCAGCATGAAAATAATGTTCTTTATGGCAAGGCAATTGAATTATACTATGTGATTCATTGATTTCCTAATAGCAAATAGGACTAAAATATTGATTTAAAAGATACCAATCGTTTTATTATATCGAAGGACGTTGTTCCATTAATTTTTTAAATTTAATTTTCTATAATTAATCATAAAATCTTATGATTAAATTTCTATTTTGTTGATAATGCAATTCTTGTCTAAGTACAATGAACCATAGCATTACAAATGGCCATATGAAACACATAAGTACAGGAATAAGCCAATAAATAATCAAAAGTATTATATAAATTTGTATAAGCAATGGTGTATCTGTAGTAATAAATAATATGATAATGAAAGTATAGACTGAGATAAAGTAGTACAATAATTTAATAGTAATACAATTAAAATAAAAGGATTTTTATTCAATAATATCTATTATGAGAAGTCCATTTACAGGACGATAATAGCTAATGAACTCTTGAATAAGTATTTAAGTTATGGATGAATTCAAAGAGAGTAAATTGAGTTATCTATTAAAATTCTATATATCAATACCACCAATATATTAGGTTAAAATTCTAATTTATATTAAGATGTTTACCCTATAA